CACCTGCTCAGCGCGATCCTCCACATATGTTCTGTGGTTTTGCATTTGAAGTTTTCCGGCCTCTCTCGGGAGTTCCACTTTATTTTTCTTATGCACGCTGCGTACCCATTTTGTGTTATCTTCCACCGCGAGAAATAGGGTTGGTAAATATTCGAGCGTTTCTGCTCAACATTCGCGGGAAACGAAGGAGGGGAAGAACGTCGAACGGCCCTCGACGCGATTTTGCGAACAATGACAACTGTTCTCCCCCTTCCCTCCCAGAGATAATCTGCGTAGAGTCCTTCTCAGTCATCGCCAAAAATAGTTGTTCGGGTTGGGGAGGGGACGGGGTTACCAGGTAGCAAATTGCGCTACTTTGCACTGCATTTGGCGTCGAAATTTGGCGGTCGGCTATGTGGCTCCTTTTAGGCTACTTCAAACCCTAACGCGGTAATTATTACTTTTTTTTTTTTTTTTTTTTGAGGGGGGGGGGGGGGGGTTGGAGTAGATTTACAAGATACTTCAGCATGGACACAAAGCGACAGTCCGCCTTTCCCGGGTTCCCGCCCTCAGGGATTTTCAATGTGAAGATGCGTGGGCGTGACGCTAGATCATATACGCCTCGCAAGTGGGCTCATTTTCGTCTTCTGCGCATGAGAAGGGAAGCAGCGGTGACGTCAGAACGCCGAGCACTGATTGGCTGATCGCGACCCCCTATCTGAGCGTCGTCTGCTCGCAACGTCGTCTGCGTCTGTCTTACCTTTCCTGCGACTTTCGGAAGTCGAGCGAGCTCGACTTCGCCTTTCAGAGAGGGCAGACGAAATAACTCGAGCGGTACGTTGTTTTTGTCTAACAACTAGCAGACGCGCATCAAGGAGGGAAGTCAAAGGACTCACTGGCGAGGTGTCCCGAGGTGCCGAGGTTTGTTTGCTAAGAACCGAGAGTAAGGGTGGTTAGTGTCCGCAAGTTCCCTCCCAAATACCTTTTACCTCCTTTCGTGTGCGGCGAGACTCCTCTCTCTAAAGGCCCATACGCACATTCGCGTTTGAGCGCGGTGCGTTCCGTAGCGGCATGCGGGCGCGTTGCGTTGCGAAGACCGCTTGCGCCAAACTTGTACGCACAGTCGCGTTGACACGCAGTCAACCGCAGTCAAGAGCCAATAAGAACGCGCTATCGTCGCTAGTGGCTCACCAATAGTAAGCGAAATCCAAGGCAACATGGCGGCGCACGGCGACAGCGTCGAAGTGTTCGATCTTGGGAGAATCTCGCCGGCTTCCCCGACGTTTTGTCAAGCTTGAAGCATCGCAGCCTTGGAAAATACAGTCCCCACCGCTCCCCAAAACGAAAAAGCAAGCACTGCGACCGGCGAACCGGATACGCCTCGCCGAGTCGGCCGGGTGGGGCGAGCGAACACGTCATCCCCTCTCCTCTTTCGGCTTCTGATTGGTCGAACGCACCCGAACGCACCGCAACGCTTCGGAAAGTTGAGCGAGTCTCCACTCGCTTGCGTCGCGCTACTGAGCGTTGCCGGAAGGCGCGCGTCGCTCCGCAAGCGACTGCGCCTGGCCGCAAGGACTCCGCAACGCACTCAAACGCGTTCAAACGCGAATGTGCGTATGGGCCTTAACGGCGTCGGCGGAATGGTTGGCACAGTTAACATCGTCTGATTTACGTCTGCTAGTCAAAGCGACGGCTGCTTTACCTTTCCTGCGTCTGTCGGAGATTCACCGCTTTTTGACCGGCGAGAGTCACCGTTGCCTCGGAAAACAAGGAGATGACAAGAGGAAGAGATTGACCTCTTAATCTAAAATTGAGGTCAGCGATCAAAGTATAAGGCGGGAAGGGTTCACAAGGGTCGCGCGGGCATGTCCCATTCAGCACGCTAGCCGGTCGTGGGCAGACGGTCGCCGAGTCGGAGTGCCTGCTAGGCCTATCTGTCGTGCTCGCTTGGTCGTTGTCGGTGGAATCGTGGCCGTTGGAGCTTTTCCCGGGTGTTTGTGGATCCAGCGTTCTTGTTCGTCGTGGTCTGTTTCAAGTACTTTTTACTTTTTTCTTGCTGCTTGAAGTCGGGACGCGCGAGAAGCGCACAAAGAAAAATAAACGTCCGTCGGTCGTCGCGACAGCGACGCTGTCGGGTTGAAAAAACCACGAGACTGAGGGTAAATCAGGTAAACGCTGTCGGCCATGCTGTTTTGATCGTAAGAAGTGCGTAAGACAGCTTCGGAGCTGTCGTAGGATTTCGTCGTAACCTGCGCAAAACTTACGAAAATTTCGTTTCGTGAATACAAATTTGTTCTCAAGTTTTGTCTTACGCATATTTTTGGCGTACGATCGTTTTGTGAACCCTCTGCACTTTCGAAAGTCGCAGGAAAGGTAAGACAGACGCAGACGACGTTGCGAGCAGACGACGTTGCAAAGGAGCAGACGGCGCTCAGATAGGGGGTCGCGATCAGCCAATCAGGGCTCGGCGTTCTGACGTCACCGCTACCCCCTGCGCAAGGAGCAGACCAGGGTGCAAGATAGACAGGTGGGGAAACGAGAGCCAAATGAGTGACCGCATTGTGTCCCCCTCGGTTTTCTCTTTTTCTGTGGCGCCATCTATGTGGAGCACCGCGAACTCTCACTCCGGGTGGCCGACCGATGGCGACCGGCTAAACTGACGGAGATGGTTTTTTGTGGATTTTTAATGAAAGACTGTCGTGCTCTCGGTTTATTTTGCGCAGTCTCCCATAGAGTTCCACGCAAATCCAATTCCGATTTTTTTCCTCTCGCCGCAGCGCCATCTGTCGCAAATCGGGGGTACCCGCAAGCAGACGAGTACACAATCCGGTCACGGCGCTGCGGTAGGCTTCTATGGGCCGTTTCCCCACCTGTCTATCTTACACCCTGGAGCAGACGAACTTGCCCTCCGTATTAGCGAGTTTTAGTAGACGGTGTTTCCCCCTACACTAAGCCCCTCCGCTACCCGGAACTCTACAGCCAAGGCCATCGGCGCGCAGGCGCAGTGGCGGTTTCTTCGTAGCGGAGGGCTAGCGAAGCGGGAAACACGGTCTACTAAAACTCCCTATTAGCTTCAGTGAGCTACCGTCATTGACGTAGGCAGGGGGTCGAACACCCCCCCCCCCCCCCCCCCCCCCCCATCCCCCCTCCTCCCGGGAGCCCGCTCGCTCCCCTGCTCACGCAGTCGGGTTTGCACGGGGCATGGGGCAAAGGGGGACCGCGGACTATCTCCAACTTATATGCTTTCAGGAAAAGCGCTTGTGGGGTAGAAAATGCTCAGATAAATCATTCACGTTTATTTTATGGGATGCGGAATCGATATTTCGAAACATTTGTGGGGTGAAGGATGGCAATTTAAAAGCCAAGTGTGTCAAACTATCCTCACTAAAATACAGTTCAAACCAAAGCGAACATAATAAAACGGACACATGGTGATAATATAAAATAGTGTCAGTGATGTAATAATAAATGATTTGTAAAAACCAATACACTGTAAGCAACGGGTGGCGCTGCGCTCACGCACCTTGAGTACTGGTCGGAATTACGTGCTTTCGACTAGAAATTACCACGAATAAAAAAGTAACTGTGACTAGTTACTTCAGAAAGCAATTTAGAGGCTCTCTTGATCATCTTATTTATACCAAGCGCCTTTCAGACGCAGCCACCTGCGTTCATGGCAAAAAATATCCAGGACGTCCTCCGCTTGAACTTCAATGTCGCGGTGAATATTCAAAAGCGCTAGACCGAGCAGTCGCTCATTCGAAGCGGACGCCCTCAGGTATGTTTTCAACCGTCGTAGTGAAGAGAACGAGCGCTCAGCTTCCGCCGTTGTTACGCGCAGAGTCGCTAGGATTTTGAGGAGACGATAGACGTTTTGGAATAGGGCCTCCGGACAGAGGGCGACCGCCTGTAGCGCAGACGTGACGGGCGTTTCACGTTTTTCCCTCCTGCATTTCGCAGCCCATGAGCAGCTCGCATTGGAGTACAGGAATTGAAACCAGGCCTGAATAGAGCCCCAAAAACTCTTCACGGCCCGGGAGCTGCCCCACTTTCCAAGATCTTTGCCGGCAGAAGCGACGAAAGTAATTGCAACGTACGCCGGTGCTTTTTAAATCTCCCATCTAAATGTGTCATCGGGTAATCCATGAAAGGAACACGGGGCGTTTAAAATGCTCTTCCGTGCTTCTAGCAGGAATGTTAGAGCGGTGACGTTGCAGACTTGTTACTCGCGGAACTGTACCCGCGGCATTTTGCAACTTCCGCTGTCTCGGACATTTTAATGGCGGCTTGGAATATTGCCTGTTTGTGGGTGGACGCTTGCTCCGATTTTTCAACGTAGACTTTTTTTTTTTTTTGCTGTTTAATTTTTTTGTGACAGTATAGCTTTTTTTTTTTTTTTTTTTTTTTTTTTTTATTGGCACGCGTCGGTAATGGAGTGGTGCCTCAAAAAGAGGAGGGAGTTGTGCGCTGTGGGGAAGCGTTTAAAGCTGGTGGGCCGCAACTACAACGACCGTAGAACAGTCAGCCATCACGCCAGTATTCCTCTAAATGGAGCCAGCTCCCGTTTTGAAAAATGACAATGCAGCTTTACCCGCTTATATCTTTACAGCGCCTCCCTAATCTTCGCGTGAGCGTCCCCACCGCCGAGTTCACCCTGCTTCGTCATTTGGGGGAGGGGGGGGGGGGGGGGGGGGGTTAAAAAGGCAAAAGCAGAGGTCTAGGCATGTTAGTTAAAGGACAAGACTGGGAAAGAGAAAGAAAGCTGCAGAGAACACTTATGGCTGAAAGGTAGGGTAAAAGGCCTGAACACTCTTCTGGGGTTTGCTTACCTGAAAAAAGGAAAAAAACTCAACAGAGGAAAATACAGAACACTTTACATGTATATCGAGGAACATCAGAGAAATTGGCCTTAATCAGGAAACAATTATCATTGGAGACATGAATGCCTACTTAGAAGAGTTTGACGAATTCACAGATACAACTGGAAAGTTTACAAGCTCCTAAAACACAGCAAGGGGAAGTACAAGCATAACGCAACAGCCTTTTATTTACAACACACTATTGTCCTTCTCACTTGTTCCCAAAGAGAGCATTATATTTCTCGACGTGCTTAGCACTGTGCCTTGCAAAGTTGCCAACCCTGATCTGAAGCGGGTCCGTTTTCCCAGTCAGGTACACCCTGTTTACCAGACCCTCCAACCCCGCATCGTCCGCGTCGAGACCACCGGAGGGTCCTGGACGACACTTGGCATATTCCAGCAGAAACGTTGCAAATGCGTATCCAGTCATGAAGGCGTCGTAGCCCGCCCTGTGTAGTCCCGTTGTGTATCTGCGATCCGCCGATGTGACCGCGGCACCGTTTTCATCGACCGTTGTGACGTCGCACGGGGTTTCCTTTGTGGATGCTTCAGAATCGGAAGAGGCATTGCTACTGATCGTCGCACCATTCTTCTTGCCACGCTTGCGTTTGCGGCGTTTGGCGTTCTCCGCATCCAAGACATCGTCGACGCTGTGGGAGCCACGGCACTGGTCCCCCTTGGCGCACCATCCAAAGCGCTGGTGAAGGAATAAACGTTTTCCAGTGTGACTCAACAACAAAGTCATTGAATATAGTCATCTCTGGAATTCCCTAGGGGGACAAGACTGTTGGTGTCCTTGACTTGTCACTTTTGTGAGACAGATTCGAAGCCAACTTAAAAGCAGGTTTGCGGTGCTTCAGAGTGACCGAATATGTTGAAATCGCCCGCAAGTAGCTTACGATGAGAGAATACACTGCCACCATCCATTGGCTAGCCCTGGCCCTCTTCCAGTCTGCATGAGGGTGACAGTTTGATGGCATTTGTAAGATAAAATAATACACTACTTATGCGAAATGGTCGCTTATAATATGGCCCGGATTATTTCGAGCCTGTGGTGAGAAAATAATGCGTAAAAATTTGCAAATAAGGGCAGACCAAAAGTGAGTTTACACAATAGATGGCACCAGTATGTTATCCCATCGTAGGCAGACACAACCAATTGCAACAGGGTCAATCACACTCAAACGCGAGAACTACACTTAACTTGACAGGAGACGTTCAAAATCTTTGCAGTATTGCTAAACAAATTATTTTTTCCAATACTGGGAGTGAACACATTAAACGCATAACAGCTATGTTTAGGCAAAAAAGTTTTCAACCACTTGGCTGTCGTAAAAATATAAACGAGATTGTCAGCATCAACAGTGAGAGTGCTGGAGCAATACCGAGACCCCTCTAGGTCTAAGGGCTCATGCTTTTGTACTTCACGCCAGTCTTGCTCACGGCAGGCTCAGATACAAAGATGACTCAAATAAAATAAAAAAGCCGTTAGACATAATGAGAAAAACAGCACACAGGGATGAAAACATGCAGAAGGAACACATAAGACACACACAAGGGTTGAATTGCCAACTGATATACTATATACGAAAAGGAGGAGGAAAATTCGCCCACAACGAACGAATTGGTGGCTCAGGTAGGGTGACCACCCGTCCCGCGACTCGCGGGACTGTCCCGTATTGAAGGCTCGTGTCCCGCGTCCCGCAAGAAATATTAAAATCTTCAAAATGTCCCGCATTTCACACTGTCACTACGCAACTCATGGCACTGCCAAACAACGGGGCACGGGTATAAGTGGAGGTCGCTGATAAACTCGTGAATTGCAATGGTACATCATTTTCTATATCCAAACATTGAGGGAAGCGACTGTCGTTCTTGCAGGAGAACTGACGCGCATGCGCCGTTATGCCTCTCTTCCCTAGGTGGCAAAATATTGGAAGAGAAAATTTCTCACCAAAAGGTGAAAAATAGATTATTGTAATTATTTACAAATCGTGCTGTGTCAATGCAAAATATTGAAGACGACTACACAATTTAAGACTGCAACTCACAACGATCAAAAACAACAACATAACGTTCTAAATTTGTGTAGGAGCATGTTAGTCAAAATAAGAATCGACAGGAAACAAGAAACTGTAAAATATTTACTGCTTATTCTTTCCTTATGATTAATTGAGTTCTGCTACAGTCGATTTTGTTTACAACTTCGACACATTTATTAACATATGTGGCATTAAAACTTAAAATATATCGCTGGGAGTGAAAATTATTTAAGCTTAATTGCCGCAATGCAATTTGCAGGTGTGCTTTCGGACAAGACAGGATATTAAATCTGTTAGCAGAGCCATAATTCCTGGCGTGTGTTGTTAAATTTCTCTGAATAGTTTTTTTTTTTTTTTCCATGATGTTTACCAGGGCAGGAGGGAAAAAATGTTTTCTCCTTCTGCTCCAGTCTCGGGTTAAAAAGCATCATGGCAAACTTCAACCAGCTCGACTGTGCACTAAGTTCTTTCCTGCAGTTGCCACAGTCGAAATATAATACCATTCTTCTCTTACCACCCCCCCTCCCCCCTCCCTCCCTCCCTCTCCCCCCTCCCTCCCCTCCCCCCCCGGGTCAGCGTGTCCCGCATTTCGCTCGCAGCAAGGTGGTCACCCTAGGCTCAGGGGGTGCAACGGGTCAGAACACAAAAGTCAAGAAATGCCCCTTCAATTGTTAGCTAGAAAATATTTCATTATCTGTCAAGGTCAGCGAAGTTTCACTGACACACTGCTCTCCCAAACTACTAATTATGTATGCTTTTAAAATTTCACCTACTCAACCTGTCACAATAACTTTCAATAATATGTTTTGTATATTGGCATGTCGAGTAATGCGTAGAAAGATGGCCCCCCACCGTTGCTTGCAAAGACAATGATGTTCACGAAGGCATTCACTGATTCATTCCAAGAATAAAGAAACAAATTTAAAAATGAAGACTTGTACCAAAAAGAGACTGAATGTTGACTCACAACTGATATTTATGCTCCAGAATAACACAAAAATGTGTTTGATGCAATATTTTAATATAGATGTTGTTTCATCAAAGTCTTTCAAAAATCCCTAAAATTAGGGTGGTTGAAAAAACAGGGAACTCTTTCCGGGAACAGACTGCCAGCGAGTCATTCCATGCCAAAGGAAATGCGGCACTTTTTTTATGTCTGGGATATGTACGAAAAAATTAATTGCAGAGGTGAGACAGGTAGAACAAGTTTTGGAGCAATTTTTGGAGCAGAAAAACCTGGATTTTGGAGCAGCTTAGGAGCACAAAATTCTCATTTTGGAGCAGCAGTTTATGCATTTTAGAGCAACTTCGAAGCACATAAGTCTACAGTTTGGAGCAACTTCGAAGCACAAAAGTCTACAGTTTGGAGCAGATTAGGAGCAGAAAATGTTAGAGCAGCTTATCAGAAATTTAAATCATAAAAAATCAGAAATAAATCACATAAATCAGATTTTTCTTTTTTAATCATTATTTCTGTCCACTCTGATTCCAATAAGTCATCAGCGCCGATACCACCAAAGTAAAATATAAAAGGAAAAAAAAATACTGAAAAGGCAAAAGCGAGTTTTGTGCACATAGATGAGGACAGGAAAAACAGGCTTGCTGCAAAGTTAGGTGGGCACCAGGTACCTCAAGCTTATACGAACTGGTGCCAAAGCGCAATTGTAGTGCAAAACTTTTTAAAGTGGTGATTCGAGAGCATCAACAAGGAAGCACGGTTTACTACAACCAGACATCGATCGGACGCTCGTCGAAAGCACGTGCAAATAGAAAAAAAAACTCCCCAAAAAAGTGAGTCACAAGGAATCGGTAGAAAGACTATGAGCACCACATGCACGCTAAATACGGGTGTGTGACCGATGCATTCGATTGCTCACGCACTGTAAGCATGTGTGTGTTAACCGATATTACTCACGGCGACAGCGCCGTCCATTTTGACAAGATTACGGACACAAATTAACAATTGCACAATGGAGGTGCTCAATAGCACTTTTAAGAAAAGGTTTACCCTCAAAACGAAAGACTCACGGCAAAGTTCTTGCAGATCTCGAGCTGGACGTCCAAGCGTTCCGTCCTCAGGGCACAGTTTCCATGATCGACCGAATGCTCCTTGTTGTACTGGAGGAACTGGATGCTCACAAAGGACTTGCCCTCTGCTTCCCTTGATGCATTGTCGCGCTGCCTGCGTGGGGTGTGTTCTTTACTATGATTGCATTGTCTGGAACACGTCCTCAACTGGTGCACTGAGCGTCCCATGGAGAACGTGCGACATCCAAACCGGGTGCACCGCTCCACCCTGGCAGCTGGTTGGCAGTGCCACCAATGACTGAGTCTGCGTTACATCGCATAGTGAAGCACTGCCCGCTTCGACCTCTTCTAATACACACGCAGCGTCCTGGCCGCACCTGCACCTTCTTGCGGTCGTGTTTCTCGATCTAGCTTCAGAACAAAGATTTCGCACCTTGACATTTGAGAATCTATCTGCGTCCAGCATTGTTTGGTATGTGCTCTCCCGTCACTCAACCCGCAGCAGCTACTCGAAGCTCGGATTCAATAAAATGGTCTCACCAAGAGTTTGGTGCGTCTGTGATGCCACTGAAACTTTAGTTAACAGGAGGCAGACAATGGTGCACGAGAGGGCTCTTCAAGTCTCGTGCTCTACACGTGAAGAGCTCCAGCAGGTTGCCGCACGTGCAGATATACTAAAGTTCCCTCGATGCATAGCGGCAGCGGTGGTGTGGTCAAACTGGCTGGTGAGATTGGTCTTCGTGTTCCCCGAAGCTGTAAACAGCAATCACAGCAATACACCGCCACGTTTCTAATTTTTTGGCAACGAGATCTTTTGGTGGCACCACCGTGCGGGCGCACTCACCCTATTTAGCGAATAGGACTCTAGCGGACGACATGCTAAGTAGTCGCACAGTGTGGTCATGTTTGCTCCCTTCTATGCCAATTGATAACGGTTTATTTAGTTTCAAAAAAGGTGCACAACATTTCTGCGAGTTCTTTCTGTCGTAATAAACCGCTTATGAGTCGCTTTGTCTGATACAACTCCTAAAATGTTAAAAAAACAAGCTTGGAGTTCGACGCAATGTATACGTTTAGCCGTGTGCATCACGGCTATTCTTGGCGTTCCCGATTCTTGTTTCGTAGGACCCGCGGAGGCTCCTGTAGAAACTTTTTCATTGTTGCCCCCAAACTGAAGGACGAGCTGTCATCTTAAGTGTACAGATGCGCACTGCTGTGTTGTGTGGGGTGCCACACTCTTGCTTTGGCTAATGGAGGTTGCCGACAACGACGCTTCCGTCCAAGTGTGATACGACAGTTGCTTGTCAAACACTTGTATGGCACCGTGAGAACCAAATCTAAGTGATAGTTGTTCTTTTACAGTGGTACTTCCCATCTCCCACATCGAATGTGTGGCAAAGCAATCCGCCAGAGAGAAATTTCTGCTCAAAGGAAAACTGAAGTTCCCATCATATCATAGATTGTGAGGCTGTGTCCATCAAATTAAGGCATTAGCTTGTTTTCTCCAATTTCTGCTAAAGATTGATTATAAATGCCCTCCACAAGAAGCGGACTACACGTTTTGCACAATTACCTACTCGGGTCCGCAAAAAAACATGACTGTTCGTAATCTATAGACCTTCTCATCTCAGTAGTTGCCCGACCAATCGACAGAGGGCACCGACGCACTCGCCACCATAGATATCAGGAAGTAGATACAGTGTGTGGAGCTTGTGGAGAGAAGGACAAGACAGTTCAGCAGTTGATACTTTACTGTAACCATGTAGCAGCTGAAGAGGCAACTATTTTAACAAGTGCACTAGGATTTAGGGATAGCGAGGGAAAAATAGACAAGGGGAAGGTAACCAGGAAGAGATTATCTGACTGGTGGCATAAGTCGAGGGAAGAATGAATGTTTTCTTATTCTTTCAAGGAGACCCATAAGGATGGAGGTGTGTGCACCCGGTTGCATAGAGGCGCCTCCGTTGTACGGATTTACCTTTTAAATATAATCTCTAGATATATAACTCTATGTTAAATAAATGTAAAAAAAAAGAAAACACTGGCTAGGTGGTGCAAGCGCCACCCTATTCAAAGGTTTCAGCTTCATCATCATCCATCCAAACTTTAGGTTGCTTTAATTTTGGTTGGTTTCAGTTTCAACACGCATGTGGCTGTGTTGCTGTTTTATGTAGTTTTTGCTTAATTTTGTGACACACAAATGTTGTCCTTGTAGCACACAACCAAAGAAACACTAGTACTGAGCCACCCTGAGGACTGCGAAGTGGTTTCAATCCTAAATTGCAGGCCTTATTACCAACACCTTGGATGCATCCGATTATGGTCGGCAGAGAAACGACTGAACTGAAGTACAGGGAAAATTACCATCGTCTACGGACGTATCCCATGACACTAGTTTTCAGAAAAATAAACCAATCAAGAGATTAATACATGATAAGAAAAAAAAAAGGTCGACATCTAGATTTGCAATGCGCTGAATCGGGAAGAACAGATGAACTCGCAAGTTTACTCCTGACTGTTTTGTTTTCGTGGACACCCAATCTTTAGTGAAATTCACAGGCTAAAAGAAAGTATTTTACAATGATGCAGAGAATTTATAAAAACCAAATATACCGCCTCGGACTGTTTTATTTTAAATAAATTAAGTTGTCGAAAAATATTTCGACAGTGCGACCTAAGCCAAGAAGGAAGTTTTTTTAATTATCAGCCCTGCTTATGTATTTATAAGCAGCATTTCACAATATTGGCCCTAGGAAATAAACTATTTTTATATGGACATTTGCTTATGGCACACACAAGTTACAGTCAGTGGCCCGTCAAATTAAGTTTGACATTTGTCTTCCGTAAAATTGGCCAAATAAAATTAAAGGGGGCAGCAGAAGTACCTCGAAAAGTTTGGCTGAAGTCTAATGCTAGGCGCCACACTTCATGGACCTGTGTAAACAGATCTTCTTTGTCTGAACAAATGCACTTTGTAAATTTAGGCATCACCAGCCACTAAAAGTAAACCTCTATTTGCCATCGACAACGCTGAACTCGGGCGATTCTTACGCGGATGGACTTTTTTCTGTGTCAAATATTGCGGACTACAGGCACTGGCAATAGCGTATGCAAAATTTGTGCGTAAACAAGAAAAGAAAAAAAAGCGCTGTCACTACTGCGCATGCGCCGAGCCCAAATGTGTTTGGATTGGTGCATAGAGACGACGCTATTTATTTGTGTATTCAAAGATTTTGTGTATGCTGATCTAAAACTATGTACTCTTAAGCTGTCTGAGACGGTTTCTTCTGCAGAAAGTCCCAACCTTTTGCGTTAAAATAAATTAAGTGAAATGAACTGGTTATCTAAAGATGATCAATAAATAACTAGAAAGACTGCCAAAATGGGGCCAAGCACGGTATACAGTTTCTTAAAATGCTTAGTAAACCAGCAAACTGAATGTATATATCGCAAAAACGATTAAGAATGTCAAACAGATGTAGGTGTGATATTATGAACAAACAAATCGCCTCATTTTGACGTACCGTCATTCCTAGCATTAGATAAAATGCAAGTTAAACGATCATTGCTCACGTCCTCCACGAGTTCCCTCACATATTTGACAGAAACTGTTTTAAGTCTATTACGAGTACAAAGGACAATGCAGAAAACACATATAGAGTCTCTTTACGTTGACTATTCTTAACACCCTCTGATCTTAAATGAGTGATCATGAATATGCAGAATATACACGCTTCTAATGGCGAATATCCCGCCACTATTAATAAATAAACCTGAGTTGTAATAAGTCACTGACCTGTGAACCCTCGTGCTGTCTTAGTCATCCACATAATTAATGTGGCTCAGTGCTAACGCTGATTCCTGTGCCTCATCCTCACACGCATTCGGTACACCGACGGTAAAAATAGTCACATTGTGCTACAAAATTAACTGCAGAAGAAGTGCACATCATCACATAATGCAATTACCTAGGTGGGAAATATGAGTATTGGACTATACGAAGTAAGGCAAGAATGTGCGGTGAAAAGACACAAAAAAGATTAATACAATGCATTCGCCAAGGCGAGGAGAGGAGAGCACAGCGATGAGTCGAAGCAACCTGATGGCAGCCGCATCATGTGATTCCAAGATGGCAGTACCCATGCAACAGAGGATGAGAAGGTCTATAGCAGGCGTCCAACTCATATTTGGGATGCTGAAGTGTAACTGACTTCTAGATATTACGGGTCTCGAATGCGGAGCTGGTTCCGCACGTTTCTCGTCAACCGGGAGAATAAGCAGGCACTTGGTTGAAGAGAATGCGGGAGCCAGTCTTCCAGCCACTTGCTTTAGGAAACCAAATGTTTACTGGTTGTTAACAAGCAAAAAGGAATCATCTTGGAACTAATAAGAGGCCAGAACTCACATAAAACAGTGTGAAGCATTTACTGCATATGCAAGAGGTTCTCAAGCTTGGCTTGCTTATTTTCAACCTGATCAATCGTTCCTTTCTAACTCTCCTCTCGTTCCAATAATAATAAAAAATTATACCGTGTTCACTGTGGTAGGTGCAGTAAAATGCTGGATATTCTTCATTATTTAGTGCCTCTTTAGTGTCATTGGGAACAATATACCACAATCCACAGCTTCGACATTTAAACACTAAAAATGCTTGATTGGCATGACTACACGTGCCACGCCTTCAAGCTATGATAAAATGTCATACCGCAAGTATCACTCCACCAAAGAAAATGCAAAGCGCAAAATAGGGATTGTCGCAGTACCTGAGCTACACAAGAAGTGAACTGACGAACAGAGGAATCTGCACCGTTGACTCCTCTCTCTCCCGCTCATTACGTCACAAACAATGAAGCAGATGATAGCTGCAGTTCGCGCACGCCACCAGTAGGTGATGAAATATGTCTGTACAAAGTGCTTGTGTGCTCCAACGGTCCGAAAATCACTATGGGACGACATTCACCAGCGCTGTATCAGATATGTGATGTTATAAGATGTCACCGCTGGCTTGATCTCACACCAGGGAGTTTGGGTATAAAAAAGCAAGATCATCATGGTATTAAACAGAACATATTTCGTGACTGATGCATGATCACTGCTTGCACGCGAGCCATGGCGCAGACGACAGGACACTAGAACGAGTAGGCTAAGCACAGC